GAGGTCCCTTCCAACCTAAGGCATTCTGTGAGTCTATGAAATGCAAATTAGAGAGTTTTGTGTTCGGTTGTGGTAACGTAAGCTGTGTAGGTGATCTAAATCCAGTACTTTCCAATATGAATTACTAAATGAGGAAAAAGCTAGAATGCGAATCTTCTGGGGGAAAAAAAACCCATCTCTTGTTCTGAATAGGGAAATACAGTTTAAGTTACTACACGTGCGACTTCTAATCTTTCCAGAGTATTTAATTTAGGTGCCCTCAGGTGGGTTTTCAAGCTGGCTTGCTGCTGCTTTGCATCTGTTTAGTCACGCTGTGGCCAATTTTGTTGTTAAGGATGCGAGGGTGTGACTCACCACAGCTCTTGTATTTAATCAAGTTTTTAATTAGAGCTTTATCCACCGATCGCTTAAGCATATGGATCTTTGCTGGCAGAAAGCACGTGGCTGCTGCGCTTCTGGGTGGATTACACTCAGATACTTTCTTTGCATTAACATCTAAGGCTAACTTATTTGGTAACTGTTTGACCAGCTCTTCTTTAAAACAGTTTGAAAATTCAGGAAATGCTAGTTCTGGGGGAAAAAACGTCCAGAAGAAAAAGTTTATTGAGGATTACTATTAGTATTTAATTATTATATATTTATTTGTCGAAGAAGGAATCAATAAATTTTGCTCAGTATTTATGATTTTATTTTTTTTTAAGGAATCCGAGATGGAAACCGAAGAGGAGGTTGACATTCTGATGAGCAGCGATATTTACTCAGCAACGTTATCAACCAAATCCATCACGTTCACGCGTGCCCAGACGGGATGGCTTTTTCGAGAAGACAAAACGGTAAGCTGAAAGAAAAATGCGTGGGCTTGTGTTACTGGAGGCAGAACGGTTCAGCCTTGCGATGATGGGCTTGGGAAGAAATAAAGAGTAAAAGAATCAGGCGTTCGGGATAGAGGGAAGACGTAACTCCCAGCAGTTGTCTCTGGTTTGACCATATGGTTATATCATGTCTGATTCTTTTTGCCCAGGAAAGAGTAGGAAACTTTCTGGCAGATTTCTACCTGGTTAATGGGCTCGTCTTGGAATCAAGGAAACGAAGGGAACATCTCAGCGAGGAGGATATTCTTCGAAATAAAGCGATCATGGAGAGCCTGAGTAAAGGTGGCAACTTGATGGAACAAAATTTTGAGGTGTGCTTACATCATTCTTCCCAGCACAGGCATTTTTGCATAGGAGAACGATCGTTTTAGCAGAACCTACAGATAATTTTTGGATTCTGTGGGTTGTTTTGATTGCTGTAATTTAATAAGGGTGACCTACAAGTATCCTCCTGGTGGTGGGTTTAACGAATTATCCTGATTAGCGAGCGCATTGAGGAATTTCTGTGATTATTATTGGGTATTTCAGTCTTAATTTCTCTCATAAAAAAAAAAGATGCTGGGTTTGGCTGTGGCAAGTCACTTTTAACTTCTTTCACACCGAGTACTGACTGATGAGAATGCCGTTCCCGTTTCCTTTTCAGTCGTGTTTTCCTTTAGCTTCATTAAAACAGCCTAAGCCCGTTATTATCGCCACAAAATCAAGAGCTATTCAGAGCGAGCCAGACATCATCTGGGAACACGCCTACAGCCTTTTAAAAATGATTAATTTATTTCTGTTATTAGCCCGTGCTTCGTTATGTGGCATTCAAGCGCTTGAATTAACTGATTAACTGACGGATTAAAGCCTCCAGCTTCGATGTAAAAACACAGTTTGAGGCCAAAATACTGAAATGGAGAGACGTGGAGCAAGAGCAGGAGAGGGAAAAGCCCGGCTGAGTGTCGGCTGCGGGAACTTTATCGCTCTCTTTCGTAGGATCGAAGCACATTTGGGTCTATTGAAGGGCAAAATCCTAAGAGAATATAAGGAAAAAGAGCTAAAAAGTGGGGTTTTTTCCCCTGCAGCCTGTCCGACGGCAGTCCCTGACCCCTCCGTCGCCCAACACCATCACGTGGGAGGAGTACATATCTGCCGAGAATGGGAAGTAAGTCCTGGGGGTTTCTTGGCATCATCTTCTAGAGACACCTTTGGGTTATTCGCTTGGGGTTTGTTTTTGTGGTTGAGGGTTGGGTCAGGTTTTTCCCTGCGTTCTCTAGCTTGTGGGTGCTTTTATGTTGTTTTTTTTTCCCCAGAAGTTTTCTGAGGACAGAGGAACGTTGGGTTTGATGTCTCGGATGTTTTGCCGTTAACTGCGTTAGTTACTGATTAAAATAATGGATTGACATGTCCCTGGCTTGAAATTTAAACATTTTGAAAATAAGCACATCTACGATGGCTTTTGGGGGTTTCTTTTTAGGAAGATTTTTATAACAAATTCATTGCTGCGATTAATTTATCTTTATGATAGTGATAAATATTCCAATTCATGGCATTTAAAATAAAATTTTATGATTTAATGAGACTGTAGTGGCAGAGTACAAAAGCCTGCATGTCTGGAGCATGAGGACGTTACAGATCCCCATGTACTCGCACAATACTGCCCCTCTTGGTGTGTAACTAGGTAGCAAAGAGCTGGAATTTAAATTAATTTACAGTAGCTTAGTTTATAGAAGATGTAAGCGGTTGAGTTTATTTCCTAGGACTGCAGCTTGCCTCACTGTTGCAAAGGAAAGGCCCCAAAGCCACACTGGGTGTAACCCATGAGTAACAGTGGCGAGAATCCTTCCTCCAGAGATACTCAAGCTGCTGGAGGCAAGAGTTGCCAGGGAACATGATGGGCCTATGGAAAAGGCACATGGGTCTGGTTTGGGTTTGTTTTTTGTCTAATTTAATGTGTTTGAGAGAGAATGAATGCTCAAGCAGAACAGTCAGGGAATGCTTGAGCAGCTGTTCCTGTCGGGACAGAAATACATGTGTTTAATAACCTCATTCACTGAGAGAGGTTTAAGGGGCAATGGAAGTTTCTAGCTAATACAAAGCCAAAGAGGGAAAGGTTTGTTACGTTAATCGTTACCTGGCTCTTCCTCTCCTATAATGGAGTTTTCCAGCATTGCCTCCTAGCGATAGTCGAGGAACTTCTCCACTGTCTCAGAGGCTGTTTCCTATTTTAGGCTGAAAGCGAGTTCCCCTTTTTCCAGCTCAGCTTGGCACTTTGTAGATTATTTTAGTGAACATTGGGAAGTCAGCCCTATCTATTTCTGAGTAGCTGCCATCCTACACTGTTTATTAACACAATGTTTACGAGGGATCATTTGACAAACTTTCCTGTTTCTCTGTTTTTGCCTCCTCTCCTGGTTTAGAACTCACAGCAATCTGAGTGAAGACAGTCAACGGTGCTCATCTTTACTCTGCACACCTTTTAAAATAATTTGCTTTAGTGTAGGGATTCTTTACAGATGTTTTTAAATCTGAGCCTGTCTGTTTGCCTTCAAAACCAAGGTTTTGCTGAGAGAAGACCTGATTTTGCTTTTCTCCCCTCCTCGCCCTTGCAGAGCTCCTCACCTGGGCCGAGAGCTGGTCTGCAAGGAGAGCAAGAAAACCTTTAAAGCCACGATAGCGATGAGCCAGGAATTCCCCTTAGGAATCGAATCGTAAGTCAGAATCACCGCCCGCGAGTATTATTTATACATAGGAAATATTTGAACGTGTTTATGAGCTACAAAATTCTTCGTATCTTCAGGTATGGGGATTTTATTTTTTTTAAAAAACTCATGAAGAGAGTGGTGCTGTTGGGCATGGGAACTATTAAATTTGGAGACCTTGGCCTGGAGCTTGTCACACCAGAGCTTTGACCGGGTTTATCATTAACTTGTCACAACACTGATGTGCCAGATGCCACAGAATTCTAAATTTTTGTTTTGCCCATGATAAGATTTGGCACAGAGTTGTGTCCTCTATGTGAATACAAAACCGTGTCAGGTTCTTTATGTCCCCAAAAAAAAGAGTGTGGGGTTATGTACTTCAGTCTCTGGTGTAAAATGAGGACAAGAAGTTGGTATTTCCACGTTTATTTGTATGCCTATGGTCATACGAGACGTTATCGCTAAGAGCTGAGTGTGAGGGTGCTGATGCTGAAGCTCTGAGGAAGCAGATATAGAAGCGTGATGTAATTTTTCAGCTTTTTTTTTTTTAATCACCTTCCTCTTTAGGCCGTTCTTATCTTTTAGAGAGGGAATGCTTGCGAAACAAGAATTTGTAATGCAATGTCCTTTTCTTTTTCAGATTATTGAATGTTTTAGAAGTAATTGCACCCTTCAAGCACTTTAACAAACTTAGAGAATTTGTTCAAATGAAGCTCCCACCAGGCTTTCCTGTAAAACTAGGTAAGAGGACTGCAACAACTCTCGTGGCTCTCTAGTTCCAAAACGCGCGTGCTCAGTCATGCAGGAGGTTTAAAACTTCTGGTTAGTTTTGGAAAAGGACTCTTCTACGTCACAGTGCGTTGCTGTAGATTTCAGTGTGGTTAACTTTAGTGGAAGTGACATCAGGTGGGAAGTCTGCAGCTGGAAGGTGAATCTAGTCCTGCTCAGGAGAGCTCTGTCATTCAGATTTTCCTTACGCTGGGGTCTTGCTCAAAGAGGGACAGAGATGTGTGGAGTTACTCTCGAGTTAGAGGATGAGCTAACTCAGGAGGTAAGTATTTTGCAGCATCTCTGCATTGCTTTTTGCCTCGAGGGTTGCTGGGGGGTGTGTTTTTTGTTTACAGGTAAACAGAAAACCATCACACCTCTAACACATGGAAATGTGGAAAGCAATTTGCTCATAGTCTAGGTTATCGCTGCCACAAAGTAGCAGCACCTTTTCTGAGCGTTACAGGATGTCTCACACACCAGGAAGCTGGTTAAGCTCAGACAGCTCCGAACAGGCCGTGTTCTGCCTCTGATCATATTTGCACCACTCTGCTTCTCCAGAGTTGGAGGTGTGCTAGCAAGCCAGTTTTACTGAGCCTAACTGAAGTGTTCGACCTCTGTTCCGGAGGGAAAAGGGTTACATTTGAAAGCAGATGTTGAGAAGGGTTGTTTTTCTCACCTAGGCATGCTCAGCCGAAGCCTGTGGGAGGTTGCTTTATCTTGTGTCAGCTGCAGGCCAACATCCCATATTTTAACATTCGCAGCACCTGGGTTTCCATCTCATCAGTCTGCATCGAGAAAGGAAACACCTTGAATTTGTAACTTTAACACACTTTTGAATGGTGTCTGGAGTTCCTTCTGCACTCCAGGCATCCGAGCATATCCTGAAATAACATTATTTAAACTTTTTTTAAGTGCCGAGCGGCCGTGGTGTAGAATGCTAGACGTCTGATGTTAGAAGTCTTTAGGTAACAGTCGGTAACTGTGGGTGAGCCTGTATTTCTTTACTCCTCCCATCCAGATATTCCTGTATTTCCCACCATCACGGCCACTGTGACGTTTCAGGAGTTCCGTTACGGTGAGTTCGACGACTCCATCTTCACCATTCCCGACGACTACAAGGAGGATCCCAGCCGCTTCCCAGATCTCTAACTGAACTGGAGAGGTGAACGGTGAATAACAAAACCAGTGTTACCACAGGGAAAGCGAATGGATGCAAAGAGCCCACGCATAGAGGTAGGGAAGTGGGTCGAAAAGGAAGGGATAAACTTAATAATCCAGAAGAAAAGGGAACGCGCATCGACCGACCGATGTCCTGACCCTCGCTCCAACGGGCGCCTAACCCAGTTCCTGATTGACAGCAAGTCTCCCGCTGCATCCTTCACACTTTTCTACACCCCATGCTGCGAGCATGGTGGTCCCACACCTCGATGACCCCGAGAATACGTAACAGCTGTGAGGACTGTCATTCCTTTTAAAATTTTTTTACATTTCTTGGCGATACAAAAAAGCACTCTTGGACCATTAGCGTAAAAGGTGAAATGTCTCGGCTGGATAGCGGCCCCGTCACACATCCCACCCTACTCGATGACCGTGTTAGATTCAGTCGAGCTTTTGTTCTCACGAATTGTAAACTATGTATCATTGTGTATAGCTCAGTAATTAGGTTGAACCTATATTAGAAGGAACACGTTTCCTGTAGGTGAACGACCCAAATGACAAGCGTAAAACCATCGCGTTTTGGTACGGCAATACACTTCAGAAACAGCCTGGCTCTGCAGGGAACGAGGTGCCTCCTCTAGCACCTTAGTGCGACCCATCGTGGTGCTATCCGTGTCTCCGGACCGTTCCTTTCTTCGCCGAGCTCTTTGTTAAACCTTCCTTCCCTCGGCTCCGCGCTTCGCTCCTCCTCATCGTGCCGGAGCCGTGTCTCCGTTAGCGCGCTCGGAGGTTCCTGGGTTAGAAACGGTCGCTTGTGGTTTCTTTTTTTTTTTTTTTTTTTTTTTCCCTTCCCGTTCGCTCTAGGAGACTTGCTTCATCCTGGCTGAGCGAGGTGGGCTCGTGTTTGTGTCCAGCAGCCGCCCGAGAACGCAGGACACGTGTAAAGACTTCCTAGAAATCAGCTCAAGCGTGAAATCGTCACCGAAGAAGTTTCTCTTGAAGTTAGTTTAATTGTAGTGCACATTGAATAGGGCTCACCTGGGAAGATGTTAGACTGTTTCTGGGTTCATTTCCTTCCTCCTCACATTGTGGGTAGGTAGGCCTTTCAGTTACTCTGGCTTCTTAATCTTATCCTCATTCCACGTGGTTCCAGTCTCCTAATTTGACGATAATCCAGCTTTTCGGTTTCGTTAGAAAGAATTTTTGCGAAAAGGCTAATGGTGCTATTCGTTTGTATTAAGAAATTTAGATTTCGAGTGCTGTGGTGTAACTGTACAAAAGTGTAAATATTTTCAAAGTTATATTCTTTGTGCACTGTAGTTACAACTTTTTTTTTTTTCCCTGGAAATCAATAGAGTTAAGTATCAAACTTTATAAAATGAAGAGCGCCTGTTGATGCTCAGTGAAGGGAACGGCCCTGACCGACCACGCGGGCGAGGGACGGAGGTGGCAGGACCTGACTCCCTGGGCGGAACGTGGGAACACGAGGGCCGAAGCAAACGCCCTTTTGCAGCTTGGGGCCCCCGTGTGTGTAATCAAAACCCAAAGGGGCTGCTTGGGAAGAGCGCGGTCTCCGCTCAGTCGCGGGGAATCGCTGTCAGCAAAGTGCTGACCCACAGGAAATAGGAATTTGGGGCTGATCTTCTTCCAGCATCGTGATAAACCCGCGGGCTGGGTGAGCAGTGTTTGCTCTGCAGGCTGCCAGCGCTACACTGGAGCTGCTAGTGCAAAATCGAGCTGGAAATAAAACCGCGGAGGGGGGAAAAAAAAAAGCAAAGGGAAATGTAGAGTTGTAATTCCTGTTGAAGTACTGTATCGGGAGCAGATGTTGAAAATCCGGCAGGAATGATCGAACTTGTTCTTCCAAGTAATCATGAATTCCTGAAGTGTTTCACATCTGTGCTACAAACGGGCACCCACCTCGTGCTCCTTGGAACCGGCGGCGCTCCGTGCCGTGAGGGACCAGGCTCGGACGGACGTAGAGATGGAAAATTATCCCATTGGTGCTGGAGGTCGGGACTCAGTGTCAGCGGGGCCAAAGGCGGATTTCTCCCACCACCCTCCGTTACAGCTGCCCCGTGTGGGACGCGATGTTCCATGTCGTGCTGCTGGCTCAGGGCTCGTGAGTGCGGGAGGACCGAGTCGCTCGGGAGTTTTAGCAGACACAGAATGTTTCTCCCTGAGGTGAATGTCAGAAATCCTTTTTCTTGGTGTTAAAGGGACAGAACCACATTTCGTGTTGCTTTGCTTTTTCGGTTGTTCCAAATCGGCACCAGAGAGTTGCTGGTGGGGGAAGGAGCGGGCGTAGCCGGAGCTGGGTGGTTTGGGCAATCCAGCGACTGTGACGGACTGGATTCTAGACTTGGGGAGGGGGGAGGAAACAAACAACAACAAGTTTTTGTGTAGCCCCACAGCGGTTGTGTCTGTGGGACAGCCCACGCCATCCTGTGGTGGCAAACGAGGTGTCTGACTCGGAGCCCACTGGGGGGCATGGAAACATCATCTTCTGGGATTTCCACAGACTCTGGTTGCAGGTTTTGTGGGGTTTTTAACCTTCCCGATCACCCTACTGCTGACTTTGATACATTTTAAGATTGGCAGGAACATTTTTATACAGCGAGCTGCTCTCTTAAGGCTTGATCTAAGTCGGGGTGTCAGCAAGTGGACGCAGACTCGGTTGGCCGTAGCCCTTTGGTGTGGTTGCGGTGACCATACCCTGCAGCTTTGTCGCTTCTTCCTGCGGAGTTGACTGAGCCAACTCCAGACGGGTTGTCCTTCCCAGCTCAGCGAGCGTTTTCCGATTCCCCTGACGGCCTCGCAAAGAACCGTTTTCTCAGTACATTTCCTTCCAACTTCCCGTGATGTGTTTTCTTTCTGACGCGTTCCCGGTGATGAGGTGTGAAGCCTTGGGCCGCAGTTTCCCCTCTGTAGTGAGGTGCGATGTGCCCGTCCGGTTCTTCAGCCATGGCTCTGCCCACGCCAACATCAGTGTTGTGTCCACCGTGGTTTGTTTTGCTCACGAGGGTTTTCGTACCAGCACACGGTGTGAGGGTTTGGGGAGGGATGTGTCTGTGGAGCAGCATCACTGACAGCACAGGGGGAGCCCGGCTCCGCAGCTGAGCTGTGGCACCGCCATCGTTCGCCACTTGTCACCTCCTGTTCAGGTCTTGTTTTGGAAATTTTTTTTTTCCTAGCAGGATTGATCTAGCAGAACTTTGGTTTTGGTTTTCCTTTTGACCACGTTGGGTGTTAAGGGAAGGGCCAGTCCCCTGTAATGCTTTCATGGGGGTTGTGTCTTTGCGGCAGCTTCAGCTCTGTTGTTTGCCTCGTGCATCGCGCTGCACCCGGGTGACTAAAACCTGGCAGAGGGGTTGGGCTGGTTCGTGGTGAACCCAAGCAGGACAGTGAAGGGAGCGAGCACCGGCCGGGTGAGGTCGGGGAGGAGGAATCAGCCGCTCCCCTGGCAGAGACATGGCAGCCCCGGGCGTCATTTCTTTTGATCTCACCACTTTTTTTCTTTTTTTTTTTCTTTTCTGATGGCTGTGAGGCCTTTTTATGAAAAAGTATTAAAAGGCAGCCATCAACTTTGGTCAACGGAAATCAGAAACCGTTCCAAGAGAATTTCTAGGGTTGTTTCTTATCCACAATTGTTTTTACCAGTCTTCCAAACCACTGCTTTAATTTGCGGCAAAGGGAATAATTGCATTTTCTTTTTCCTCTCGAGGAGCTGCTGTTCCAGTCACTGTACTCACTTTACTGCGATTCTTATGGATTGAAACGATTTTGTTACAAAAAGAACTCTGGATATATTTGTGCTGGAAACCCACCTTGTTAAGTTGGTATTTAAAGCAGCTGTTTTTTAAATGTCTTTGTTCCTTGATTTGTAATTCATGCAAGGTAACTGCGTTATTTAATCCATATTAACAACATTTCCTGTAATGCTGCAATTTCACATTTATTTTCCTTACAATTTGTAATTATCGTAGAAACAGTGTCACTTTTCTGCATTTTACTTAGTTGTCCTGCCCATGTTTTTAACTTCACTAACCATAAATTTTAGTTGTATCATTTGTTAGAATAAAGACCAAACTATGCTGTCTGATTCTGAAACTGTTCCACATGTGAAAACGAAGTTTGAACTCTCCTGACGCAGGACTTTCTGGGATCGGTACCCGCTGTAACGGCGCATCTGAGCAGGGATTCCATCTGAGGGGGGACAAGCTCACACTGCTACATTCTGCAAGGGCATTTTCTTGGTCATTTTTTAAATAAAATCCTGCCTTTTCATTACAGACTGTTCTGTAGTTCTCCACATTATTTAAGGGGCTGGTACGCAGTGGAAGGATGAGGACGGGAGCCTCGGCATTTACCAAGAGGAGTCAGAGGTTTAGATACCGCTGCCGAGGAGGGAGGGAAGGAAAAAGTTAAGTTTTTCACTGAACTATGTTCAGTAACTACAGAACTTTTATCTCCTAAATCTAGAACTGTACTCATTTAAATAGCAAGTTGTGACAGTTGGGCAGAAGGGCTGTGGATGACTTGGAGAGCAAAACCCCACGTCTTCCAAAGTTTCATTTTGCTTTGCACATTTTGGGGGGATTTTGGGCGTGTTCTGATGGGTTTTTTTGGTTGTTTATTTTTTCAATAAGCAAAAATTGTATTTGATATTGAAGTGTTTTGGATTTTAAGAACTCTGGTAGCAGAACATGCAAGGCCGTGTGGGCTCTGACAACTGCAGCCCATGAAAGTTTTTCACCTGGAGTTTTTCAACAACTTCAGGCTTGGTCTAAAACCAGTTGCCCATCTTTGGTTGGAGCCAACACCAGGAGAAAAAGCAAGGAGCTGCTTCCCCTCAATCTTCCCTTCATAATTAACAAGTTCCTCAATTACTGTGCTTGGCCAGCCTGTACCCATAGGCGGGTTCTGGCACGCACGGGTCCAGTGAAACTTGAGGAGTAAAGCTCTGCAGCAATGTAGAGGTGGTGCAGGATCTCGAGAGCGCTGTAGTCGTTAGCAAACCAACTCCATGGCCTGGGTTCATTAGCAAAATAAACCAGAAAGAGAACTGACTTGGGAGTAGCAGCCCCTGATTTACTTTGACCCCAAGGGGGTCCTGTGTAACAGCACGCGAAAGACACCCACAACACCAAGGTCTAAGGATCAAGGAGGTTGACTTTATTACTATAAATCAGTTTACGTTCTTGTATGTCACATATAGATGACAACAAAAAAGGCACATCTATGAAGACCTCATGCACCTTGTCTGTGTCCAGGTTCATACAAGAACTCTCTCCACTAGAAAGAAAAGCCGGGGAGGGGGGTTGTACGACATAGACCTCTGTAGTGACAAAATACTCAAAACAGTCAGTAAAAATTTACATTTCTACAACTTCTAAAAATGACACTGCGTACTAAATGGTGAGTTCCGCTGTGCCCGGCGACTCAAGTTCAGGCACCGCTCAGGGCCCCGGTCCCGGGGAGGCTGTAGCTGATGTCACACGCACGAGCACTCACCCCTTCCTGCTTCCTCCCAGCCCCAAGAGGTGCATGTTCTTATTTCAATGAAAATACAAAAGAATTTTTACAAATACATGTTTCTTTTAAAAAGTACTTGTCTCGTAATACCTCCAGCTTCCCATTCCCTTCAGTGTCCCCCCCCAAAATAAAAGATTTTTTCCGCTGTGTAACGCACTGAATCGGAGCTGGAACAGCAGCTCTGCTGCTGGCCCCGTGGGTTTGGAAGAGCTGGAGCCGTTCTGGTCTTCTTAAAACGGGCCAGTGAAGGAGAACGGCTGCTCTAAATGCATGAGGTAAAGTTTCGTACATTCAGCGGTGTAAAAATAAATACCAGCAGAGTTGGATAGGAACACGGGTAGAAGTTTAAGGGTTTTATTATCAAAGTTTTGTAAAACAATTTCAGAAACTGTACATCGACATGGCACAGACTGTGGCCTACTTTTGTCTTTTTGTCTTTTTTTTTGCCTGCACAAAAGTAAAAGCTCTTGAACTTCGGTAACTAAGAAAAACAGCTTTAGCCTAACTACTTTGCATATAACATGGAATCACTGTGTGCATCAGGTTACTACTGCAGTGACAGTAAACACAAATTTATTAGTTTATACAACTTGAGATCAAGTAAAAAGTACATTATCAAGTAGACGTTGCTTTTAAAAGCATACGAAGGTCGATTTTAAAATGCACTACCTTTTTGCGATGTGTTTTAACTCGTGAACGAATAAAATGACCCGGATGATGAAAACTGCACAAATCAACCTTTAATCACTGGGCACGAGCGGGGATTTTCCCCTTCCCAAGGCTCATGAAGAAAAGCTGAGAAACCGCCGCACCTCACCTGAGATGGATTGGAACCGACAGGTTAAAAAAAAAAAAAAAAAAAGAAAAAAAGAAAAAAAAAGCCCTCAAAAAGGTTCAGTGCATTTTAATTTTGTTGAAGCCGAACAAAACCCCCTCGGAAAAACAAACCAAACCAACCCCAGCCACGTGGCTTAAAAAAATTAAAATAATCAGAAATACAGGAACAAAACCCTAGCTATGTCAGAACGCTTATCTTCAGACGTACTGTTGGTTTTTCTTTTTTTTTTTTTTTTTTCTTTTGTGTAATCACACTTAAGACCCTCGGGTAGATCTGCCCTGCATCGTAGGACTCGAGAACACTGAGGATGTTTCTGCCACAATCAAACATGCAGC